AAAAAAAAAAAAGCTCACAAAGAGGACAATCGAATCGAGCAAAGGCAGCATATTAAAAATTAGAAAAATTATTTATCCAAAGAAATCTCATGAACTAAACTGACCATCATAGCATGGATCAAATGCAACATAAAGGAAGAAAATATTTTATAAGTTTCATTCTTTAAGCCAGCTTAAAGTAGTACCGAATAATTGAGTATTATGATACGAGAGTTGATCTGAACCACCATTAGAACTAAGATCAATTAGTTATCAATTTGTATAAGCAATCAAATCTAGTAATACCTTTGGAAGAAGCATTCGAATGAGGCGGCGGCGAAGCCTCATCAGAGAGATCAGGAATCTGCTTCCAGGCCTCCACCATCTGATTCATAACCTCCCTAACACCTTTCACCTATTACAGCACATTGACAAAATAAACAAAAAGAAAAATACAACAAAAAATTATATTTGGAAAAAGGAAGAACAAAAATTACCTTATCGAATTTCCGATTCTCGAACGTTCTCAAAGACCCAGCTTTGAACTCAGACAGCGTGTCTCTCTCCACAACCGCCAACTTGGCCAGCGCTTCCGCCGCGGCCTTCCTCGCTGCCCAGTCCTCGCTGCTCAAGAACCCCACAAGGCAAGGAACCAAACTCTTCAAAACTCCCTGACCCGACGCCCCGCCCGACCCGATCACCGACCCGATTAGCGTCAGCACCGCCGGTTTCGCCTTAAACCCGTCGTACTTCATCAGCCTCTCAAGTCTCGGCAACAGCCTTGCCAGCTTCGCCGGCTCCGGGTCGGGCGCGGCATCAATGCCCGAGGCCAGGCAGAGCGCCGACCCGATCTGCGAGTTCGGGTCCTGCTCCGTGAACAGCGCGTCGGTTAAGGGCTTCAAAAACGAGCTGAACGGAGGCTTGGTGACGTGGCAGGAGAGCGAAGCGACGGCATTTTGGCAGGCGGATCGTACGGCGGAGTCCGGGTCGCGGAGCCGCTTCGTGATGTTGCTGAGCATTTTGGAGAGATGCGGCGACAGCGAATCGCCGTGGGATTCGGAGAGGACGGTGATGAGGTGGACGCATTGCTTGCGAACCGGAGACTTGTCGGAGGCGTCGGTGGATTGGATGCAGGAAAGGAAAACGGGTACGGAGCTCGGTTCGAGGGTCCGGGCGATGGACTCGAGCTCCGAAGCAGCGAGAGAGTGAGTGTCACGGTCGGAGAGCTTCGTCAGGCACGTGAAGACCCGGTGCTTGAGGTTTTGCGCGGGAGGCATTGTGCTGTGCTGTGGTGGATGGGCCGGGTTTTTTAGTGATTTCGGGTCGAGTTTACGAGTCAGGTGGCGGAGCTTCCGGAGTCTCCAGCAACATTGCCGGAGTTGACGGTGGTGATCTTGCGTGTGTTTGGTCGGTGGTAACAGATAGAGCTGTTTTCGAGTCTCTGTGCTTTTTAAACTGAAAGAGAGAGAAGGGAAAGAGAGTCGGAACACGGATGTTTTAGCTAAGTAACGCCAAACGGCGTCGTCTTGGTTAGAGATGGAGTCGGTAACGGTAGGTAAAATGGCATGTTTACTTAGCCGTGGATCGGAAACTAGTTGATCTCATTCCTAATTTGGTTTGAGGATATTTGATCACGGATTTTAGCGTGAAAATAAGTTGAAACTGAATCATAAGTCGGGAAGCTAGTTGATTTCGAGAATATTTAATTACATATTTGAACTCAAAACACATTTAAACATATAATATAACCAAGTATTTGAACTTTTATATTCATTCAAATAAGTAAAAGAGAGGAGATTCTCCAATAAGTATTTAAGTAAATGATTGGTTACGTACTTTTAATCTCGGTTGTTGAATTGTATCTAAGAGACTACTAATACATTTAATGAACGCAATATAACGGCTAAGATTAAAAATATATAACCAATCATTAATATAAAATACTTATTGAAGAATCTCCGAGTAAGGAGAGTGATAATGACTGGCTTAAGGTGAAGCTTCCTAATTGTTTACCTCACTCAAGGATGGTTTAGTCCTCAAAACCTTTGCTCCTGGAATTACAAATCATACCTTAAACTTGCAAAAACTAAAAAGTTCACGATTGTATTGTAACTGAAAACTAAAAAGTTGGTGATCAGATGGGGACGCTTTCATGTGAGCTCAACACTGTGGTAGGACTTGATTGGTCCAAACTCAAAAACTTTTAAAAAAGGAGGGAGCGTGCTCAGGTGGAAGCAGGGCCACGGTGGTCCTCCGGAGAAACGAAAGGAAGTAAATTTTAATAAATTAGGGGACACGGGAGCACGTGAACAATTATAACGCGGCAGTCAATGCTGGGTAAACTTTGGGTCTAACATTAAGGTGTCACGTGACAGTTGCGGGGGTTAATTATGCCAAAGTAACTGTGCCTACAGTCAAGCTCAAGCAGCTTGTTCTCATATTTTTACTGCTCAAAATGATTAAACTGCTTGTGTGTGGTGTTTGTTATTGTGATTGTGATGTGGTCTTTTTTTGTTTGTATATAAGTGATATTCGAGAGCGGTCATTCGAACACAGAACATCGGATGTGAGAATAACTACCTCGATCTTGCTTGTATTACGGATTAATATTGCGTAAGTGTTAGTTTACCAATTCATATTCAAGAAGGTAATTAATTAACCAAAATATTGGTCAAGGCTTTATTTGTTCACCTAACAAATAAGAGGTTGAACCAACTCTTTTCAGAAGTAGGGGTTGGAGATATTTATCTTTTTAGTACAAGGTTGAGCTAATTGGAAAACAATTAGTGGACCGGCAAATCAAATCAGAAAACATGCAATTTGTTAATTAAAATGGATGGATGGGCCAAAAAATGTGTGCTCTAGAACTAGAACCCTACTCAAAATTTGTGGGTCTCAGTCAGCTATCAACCTCCCCTTTACCTACCTACCTGTTTACATTTAACCAAAGCTTAAAAGGTTTTGTTATTAGAGGGAAATGAAGCAAATCACTGGCTGAAGGGCAATGGTTGTCGGCAAAGAAAAAGGAAAATTGATGATGAAAAATAGGATAAATGGGCAATTTTGGTGAAATTAACTAACTTGCTATTGGTTGGAGATTTGGCAGCTTGGCCCTGTAAGGTTTGGCTACATGGCCATTCAAAGTTAGATGAACAAAAGGACTGAAATATTTATTGCCTTATAAGTATATGAAATTGTGAAATATTTGTGGTTCAAATGTTTACAACACTCACCATTGTAAAAGGGATTTTGGGATGAATTAGTAGAGACTTAATTTCGGGATTTTGGCAATCCCTAACTGGCATAATTTTTCATTCGCAAAAATAAAAGTAACCATCGTTGTACATGATGATATTTGATGAGGTCTTGTGTTCGGATATCCTCTTTCTTTGGAAAATATATGAAGTTTGACGGGCTTAATTCCCATGTCTGATGCAGAAAATTAGGACCTGGTCTTGGCAGAATTGAATGAATTCTATTTGCAGGGTGCAGGCCATGTGCAATTTGGTTGTTTGTAGCGCGACACATAACATGAAATTGAAAGCTCAAAACATGGCGTTTTAGTGTAGAAGGAGCAATTGACTATAAAATTTATGCATTATTATAACCATTCAGAGAATAAGGCACATACTGCCAAGAAAAAAACATTCTTTTAGTTGGGTACTGCATTTTGTTTGCCACGTGATGTTATCTATGTATCTTTCATGTATATATATATATCGACTTGGGCATACTCACATGTGATACAATCTTATAATCATTAGCATTTCCATGCATTAATAAGGATAGAGATGAAATTCATTCAATCCTTAGAGCACTTCCAGCAGTTTGCTCTTTGCCATGGCAAGGGGGCGCTAGGGCAGCTACTAATCACGTGAATAGTGGCTGTCCTTGCAAAAAACAATGTGTGCTTCCACCCGTTGTCATGACAAAGGGCAAATACTATTCATTTTTTTATTTTTTTCACAATTTTTTTTACCTAAATAATTAATTTGGATAATATTTTCGGATAAGATTTTTTTATAGAAAGTGAAAAAAATATTGAGTAGAAAATGAATAATAGTTGAAGGAGAAGAAAATGTATGAGGATTTGGTGTTAAAAGTGAAGAGTATTGGTTGGTATTTATAGGAAAAAATTCATTAATTTTTGGGTTTTTTTAAAATGAAAATTCAAAATTTTTCATTATTTTATTGCAAAAAAAAAATATTTTCAAATTCGAGGGCTGACATCATCCCAAAACTCAGGCTGGACCTCGGGCTCGCCTTGCCCTCGGGCCAACCCAGGCTCGTGGCCCCCACCTCATGTCCCGGCCAGCCTTTGCTGCTGGAAGTGCTCTTAATGACATCACAAATTAGGAAGCTGTAATTCAATTATTTTTGCATCGAGCGAGACCTACGATATGAGATTCGCGTCATGTGAGAAAGTCGAAAAACTAAAAATAATAATTAAGAAAAGAAAATATGAGCTGTGGAGAAAATACCAATGAATTTTGTTGTATGGTATTGATTTTGGATAGATGGGTAGCTTAGAATTGAAGATATATACTTTAATTCTACTGTGGGTGTGCATGTTCCAGGATCATCATGGCATGTGATGAAGACTCAAATTTATTTCAATGGCATTATTGCATCATGCCTTATTTATATAAGGTGCTTTAAATTCAGCATATCATAGTTCCACATGCAAGGAAGAGGACAATCATGCGTTGGCCCTTGCCTTTCAAAGAGAGATAATATAATAAAGGAAAAAAAAAAGGTCCTTTCGGCATCATATTTGGGGTTGAATTATTTTCTTCATTTCTAGGTATAGTTGTTTGACTTGAAAAACAATTCGCTTGTATCAATGGAAAATCATTTATGCGTGCGTGAGCGACTATCTCTAATATTTTTCATTTGATTTACCGCGTAAAATTCCAATATCATATTTGGTGCTTTGAACAATTGGAGATCAATGTCACTCGAATTTAAGGTTTCTATCAAGTCCAACATTATCTTTAGCACAAAAATGCGACGTTTTGGTCTTTGTCACTTTGTAAATTGGGTTAGAGGACCACACAAGATTGTTTGATATGCGTAGTCCAAACTTCAAATTCGCAACTTCAGCCCTTCCACATCAAATAAAAGATACAAATATAGTCTTAGGTAGAACCCCACATAATGAGATAGATACACATGATATATTTGATTTGAACAGGGTTGGTTTGGTAACAACAAAATTTTGTGGTTGGGTTTGAAATTGAGAGGTGAACTAAATAGGACAGGGACAGCTCAGCACGTTTTTTTAATAATTAAAATTAATTGGAACTCCAAGCCAGGTCAAGTTTACATGAATTATACGGACACCCTATTGGAAAATTTGAAAATTGTCTCGAGAATTGGGTGTCCATTTCCAAAATCATCACTCCTTATCCTTCTTGGGATTAAACCAATTGGGTTTCTGATTTACATGTGTTTCGAAAACTTTGTTTAAATCTTGGCCCAATTCGAATCTTCCAAGTAAGCCCATCCCGTTTTGTTCTTAGCATGGGCCAGAAAGAGTGGAGTTCAATGACGCACCCATGTGTAAAACTCATATTTTACTGAGGAAATGGAAAACTTTTATTCAAATTAAAAAATACAATATGATGTAGACATTGTCTTAGTAAAATTGGTTAGAGCGGATATGCTCCCCATTTTGCATCCGAGTTCGAATAATTGGTTTTAGAAAAAAAACTAATGCATTAAGAACCAATTAGAAAATAACAATTGACTAGCTTTGAGTTTTTCCCTCCAAATAGACTGTATAATATAACACTAGCCCCTTGGCACATGCTTGTGCCAATTGATTTTCTTTTTTATTTTTTCTTTTCTTTTTAGAATTAAGAAAAGATAACATGGGTAGTTATTTTCCATAAAAGTAGGACCTATTATCTAATTTTGTTTTTATTTTTATTTTTTAATACGAAAAAATGTGAATTTATCATTTTAGCCTCATTTAATTAATAATTTCAATTCTTAATAATTGAATTAACCAATGACATTTTCTGGTATTTTGAATGTTTCACCATTCTCTACCTTTTGCTTATATATATAGATGCTAAAATTGGCCTATCAATGAAAAGGCTTTTTTTTTATTAATATGGAGCGTTTTTACTATGATTGCACTTTCAAGTTTCATGGGTGAGAGATATTTGAAGCATTCAATTCTTGTTAAGAGTAGTTGGATATTTTGGTCTGAAGTAGGGTTCTTACTCTGCAGCACAGGGTAAAGTTGATCTCTTTTACTTTATGCCCCTACAAGGTTTCATCTCATGCTTACTGTTCTCAGTTGTTCTTCATCATCTTTGATGCCTGGAAATTGTAGATCTCAACTTTTTTCAGTTATTAGGCAATTTTCTTCAAACTATGGCTTTGATTCTTCTAAAAGGGGTACTTTGTCCCTTCCTTGAACATGAAACTAATATATAATTAGACATAACCCATTAAAATCAAAGAACTAACATGGTTTGGAGTTCAAAGGATAAGATGGAATCAATATTGGAGTCAGTAATTGCTGACCTAAGGGAACTATTGTTTTTTTCCAAGACATGAGTTAGGTCAGTTACCTATGACAATGAGTCCGTTCCTTTGAACTAAAGTTCAAATTCCCCTACCCGTAGATTATCCTAAACCCTTTAAGTCCATTCCTTTGAACCAAAGTTCAAATCTCATTCCCTATAGATTATATTCATTTAGAGTAGTTTAGATTATCGATAATTTTTTTTTTTTTTTAGTAAAAGAGATTATCGCTTGTATATATATATATATATAAAAGCATTTATTTATGGGTTGGGGAGAGTAATTGGGTTTGGGTTTGGGTTTGTGCCTGGGCGCTAGGCCATGCAGTCCACATATGGATTTGTGTAGTAAAATGGGCCTAGGCGCTAGGCGGCCTTTTAAAAAAAAAAATATATATATTTAAATATATTAAACAGTAGAGCCGCGCGCCTATACTATTTAATATTCGAATATACTAAAATACTATAGGTGGTCGGCTATACTATTTAATATTCGAGTATATTGAAATAGTATAGCAGCGCGGCTAGATTATTTAATATTTGGATATGTTGAAATAGTATAGCCGCCAGCTATACTATTTAATATCATAAGTTTTCATTAACCGACACAGGCACCGACCACATATAGACGATACAAGTTTTCCATGTAAATATTCTTTTCACATATGGTTGATATTAGATATTCAAATTTCTTGAAACTACAACTTAAGTTTATAAATATTCCAGAAACTGAACAATGCCTCAAACTTATTATGTTTTGGAATTATTTGCTTCACAATATATAGAAGAAGCTAGTAAGGCCTTAAATGTGGAAAACCATTCACTCAAAATAAGTAAATGGGAAAGTAATAGGTGTAACAAATAATGACATGTTCATTCACATGAATACAAGAAGGATAATCAGTAGCCCATGTAAAAAGAATGACATGTTCACTCACTGGATCAGCCTCAACAGGTACACCAAGCCGAGATTGTGCATTTGCAACTGTAAGAAGAACGTTCTCTCTCTGATTCCTTACGTTGTCTTTCTGAAAAATTAACCAGAACAGTTATCAAAAGGGATATATTACATATGCATACGAACAGCAAGTGGAATTGAAAATATATGCATATATAGTGTTACATTTACCGTACCACAAAACTGCAGATATAATTAAGCTTACAGCAAATGTTAGGAAACACAAACCTGAAAACCAAATACACATTCCAACAGATCAAACATGTCAGCATCTCGTTGTCCAGATATCTCAAAAGCAGCAGGAAGTCTGGGGAATTGCTCAGTATACGTAATTGCAGATATTGCACCTCTCACCTGATGAGAGGTGAGAGGTGCAATATCTGCAATATCTGCAATGTTTATAAACATAATTACGTTTAATGATTCGACAATACAATACCTACAAAAAAGCTGCATCACAGAGAATAAGACAAGTTTCATAACACAAAAGGCACTTGTTAATTGTTGTTTGCTATTTATGAAAACGAACATTAATCTTTTTTGGATTATACATAACCAAAGATAGATAAGATGCAAAGTGAATGTAACAGAACTCTTAAAGGAGATGAAGAACATGAGGCATGACATATATAATTCAGGTCAAACTTACTTCCCGGAAAACTCCAATGGCATTGGTCAATGATGGTGCTTCAAGAGGGACAATATTGTAGGCCGTAAGCTCCCCAGATAATGTTGCATCGGTGTTTTTAATTCTTCGCAACTGGAAACCCACAGATCAATGAACACAGTCAATTGTTATCATAAACTGAAGCTAAAACAATATTGCTGAAAATAGTTGGGAAGGTGAACTGATATAAGTCAATATAAGATCAAATTTAGTATAGTATATAAGGTCAAACTTTGCCAAGTGCAAAGGATTTTAGAGACTAACAGGCTTTCAATAGTAAACCATTTATTGAACATCACATCCAAAAGTAGGAGGTAAAAGGAATAACACCTCCTCCGTAATAAGTCTTCCAACTCCATTTGGATCTGCATCTTTGCTAAGTGCCTCCATGACCTCAACTAAAGCCCTCAAGGTAGCAATCGTCCTTTGATCATTTCTAAATAACTGAGCTCCAACATGAAACAACAAAACAATTAACAAATAACTTATTGGGAAATCATAACAACAAAAGAGGAGGGGAAAGGTCTATTAAAGCAAAACATGATGGCCATACTTGCCAAAGTCAGCACTAAAAGTTCCAGATTCACGCCATCTTTGTTCCTGTCTCTGGATATCATCTACTTTGTCGTTGTTTGTACTGCTGGTAAAGTCCCACAGGTGCTCAATATCACGATTGTGATCTATTTGACCCTCATCTCTTTTTGCAAGGTATAGCCGTTCGGCTATATTCGCGCGGCTATACTATTTCAATATATTGGAATATTAAATAGTATAGCCGTTCGGCTATACTGTTGAAATATACTCGAATATTAAATAGTATAGCCGCCCGGCTACACTATTTTAAATCTCCATGAAACGGCATCGTCCACGTCTTTTCACCTACAGTATTTTACAAATATGTCCTTTCCATATATAACTATCCCTTCTCAAAAGGAATTAAAAAGTCGGTGAACCTCAAACAGGATATGGCCGAAAATAATATAAAAATAAGGGGTATTTCCGTAAAGATGTCGGTATATAATTCTAACCCCCTCCATTTTTCAGAGTTTGTGAAGCACAAAGGCCGAGCGGAGCAGAGGAGTTTCCGAATTTCCGTTATCCATTCTCTCTCTCTCTCTGTATCTCTCGAAGGTTTTTAAATCTCCCTGCAAATTTTAGGGTTTTTGAGCGAATCTTGAAATTTGAATTCGACTGTTGAGAAACGATGGTTTCCGATTCGATCACCAGCGCTTCCATTCATGCAGCCCCAAACAACAACAACAACAACGCCCGGGATGTGAGCAAGAAGAAGAGGGTGAGATTTCAATTTCCTTTTCCGGTTTACGATCTCTTGTTATTCTGTATACGAATTTGTATTTATTGGTTGATCTTTAGTAAAATTTCTCGTTTATTTGGGGATTTTCAGGCCAGGTCTGCCAAATTGAAGCAGTGCAAGCTCGATGTTCGTCGTGAGCAATGGCTTTCTCAAGGTACGCCCCCGATCTCGTAATTACTACGTTTTATATGCATATTTAATTGTGTGTCGTATCGTTAAATTTCTCCGATTTGTCAGTTTTGATTTTAAAGAAAATATTGTTTTGGCATTTGATTGATATGGATTCGATGGGATTTAGGCGCTGTGAAGAATAAGGACGTTAAAGCGGAACAGAACGGCGTCGTTGAAGAACGCAAAGACCGTAATAACCACCGTCCCTTCGGTAATCTAGGGATGAGGCCCGGAGGCGGTGAGAATGACGGATCGATCCATCACCACCACCACCATGACAGCGATTTGGACTCGAACAGTCCGAACAGTTTGACAAGTAGCGTCTTGGGCAGCAACTATTCCGAGACTAACTTCACTGGGTCTAGCAGCAGCAGTAGCAGCAGCAGCAGCGGTGGCTGTTGCTCTGGAAATATCACAGAGGATGATGAAGGGGGTGGCGATGATGGGTGCTTGGACGATTGGGAAGCCGTGGCTGACGCCTTAGCCGCCAACGAGAAGCCGAAAAACCCATGTTTGGAGTCTCCCCCAGAGCATGATCCAATTGCTCAATCGGGTTCTCCTCAGGAAACGACTATTGGGTCTGATGGGCCGAATTTTGGGGTTGAGAATTCGAAGCCTCAATGCGCCAGAACTATCCCGAAAGCTTCAGGAAATGGCCTGGCTTGGAGGCCTGACGATGCTTTTCGGCCTCAGAGTCTGCCCAATTTAGCTAAGCAGGTTAGCTTGCCAAATTCGAACAGGAAACATTACGGTTGTGGTGGTGTTCCTTGGGCCTATAGTGGTGTTGTTTCTGCGCCATCCTCATGTCCTATATGCTATGAAGATTTGGATTTCACGGACACGAGCTTTTTGCCATGCTTGTGCGGATTCCGGCTCTGCCTTTTCTGCCACAAGAGGATTCTCGAGGAGGATAGCCGCTGTCCTGGCTGCAGGAAGCCCTATGAGCATGAGCCTGTTGAGGCAGAGGCAAGTGTGCATGGAGGTAGCCTCACGTTTCGGCTGCCTCGTTCTTGTAGCCTGATCACAAGGTCCTAAAAAGAACTTATGTTTTTCGTGAGATATGTACTCTTGTCTCTGTTTTTTGTGTTTCATGGTTTTTTGCGTGTTCTACAGTCTTAGAATTTGATTTCTTTAGTTAGATGTGGGTATAGGGTTTTGAGCGCCCGGAATTGATCTGCTTCTCTTTTGACTTGGTTCTTATCTGTATGGTGCATGTGCTGAGGTAGAGAACTCAGTGACTCAGTGTTCTTATGTGAATAGATAAGGTGGTATAGAAATTCAATACATGAAACAAGTATACACTATTATGGTATTTCTTTTAATCTTTTCAATTTTTGCTTATCTTTGCTACTATTTGATTCTCCTATTTTAGTTTGGGTTTATTGACGTTGCTAATTGATGATGTAGAAGGCATCCTTGTCCCTGATCAGTGGTTCCTAATGATTTAAACTGTGTAGTTTCATAGTTGTATCTCTAAGGCTGAAATTGGATTCAAACGAAAGGTTCACTTCATTAATCTCAGTTGTTAAACCATGGTTATCTAGCAATTGTGGATCTTGGTTGATACCATTGTTTAACTTCTGAGATTGCTGTAATGGACCTTCCCGTAATGGAGGGGATCTGAGTCTTCTTAGGTTATGGTGTATAGCATTTTCATGTGGAGCTCTGGGTAAGATTTCTGCATATGGGCTTCAGTCTTTTAAGGTTAACATGGATATTGTCAAACCCTAATGCGCAATTATTTTATGCAGGTAATTTGTTCCATATGACAGAATAGGGTACCACATTTCTGTTCTAGTTGTTTGGGACTTTGCATTTTGAGGTTAAGTTTGTCTAGTACATTTGGCGTATCTTTGTTTATTTATAATATGTTTTTGCTTTTGTCGTCTGATACAAAGTTTTCTATTATTGCTAAATATTAGATGAAGGTGGAAAGCATTACTCCATGATGAGTTTTGTTAAGATCCTTTGTACTTACATTTGCTTGTTGCACAAGTGTTCAAGATTGAAGGTCTTGCCATTCAGTATTTGCAGCTGTAAGTGCTAAGGCGGATTTTCAATTGCCGTTTTAGAGTTCATGCATATATTTACTTGGAGATCATTTGGTTTGTCATCTGTTTAAGGGGAGGGACAATTAGTTGACTGGTGAAGCCATTAATAACTAAGCCAGAAAAAAAAAATGTTGTGTTGCTATCACTCTGTATCTACAAGGAACCTAGAAGTGTCTCTTGCTTAGGATAGGGTTGGTATCATCGTCTAGGGTAATTCCCCTCTGTATCAGGCTGTGAACCTTATCAACTTCTAGTTGTGCATTAGCCAAAAGCTTATATGGTGTTGTCATATCTAATGTGGGTTATATTGCCAATTTGGCAGCGTCCTTCGCTCAGGTTGCTGCTTTCCTCTTTATGAGACTTGCTTCATTCCTGTGTAGCTTGATAAGTGAGTCACCTTTATGGCACGAAGCTCTAATACTTGTGTCGCTTTGGATTTAGTACTAGGTATCCCTTTGCCCTGAGATAAATGATGCAGTCTTCTCCTTATACTTTTCATGCCTGTTTCTGTTTCTATTGTGATGGTTATGAATTAACTGGTATGTAACCGTTATGCATGGTTTCTGTGCTCATCCTCTAGCACCCTTGGCAAGGAAATTAAACTCAATTGTATAAGAAGAAAGAATAGATCACCCTCTTCATTGATAGGGTCGGTGTAACATCAATATGCCTTCTGCACAAAAAAGTGATTCAAGTCTTGTTATTATGTGTTACTTTTACTCTGTTGAACTATAATCTGTTTTAGAGAGAGGAAGTATCCTGACATTTCCGAAACCTCTGTTAATTTGTGACCCTTGTCTTCACAAGTATTGTTGTAATGTGCTGAACATTTAATCCATGTGTTTTTTTTAATTAAATCTTGTAATCTTGATTATGGGTTGGAACTTTCAAGGGTGTGGCCTGTGATCTTCTTGATATATCATAATCAAGCAAATCCATTCACAAAAAGAAACAGGTTTAACCGAAACTCTCCATATGGGTGTGTACACAAAGTGAATTTATCAATGGCAACATTTATTTTTTGGCCAATTGCAATAAAAACAACACCAAAGCAAAACACACACGTAGTAGATAACACCCCATACCAAACCCCAAATCAAGCAATTGGAAATCCAGGGAAGCCCTTGCTCTGTAAGGCGACTCTATCTCCTCTTATTATTGACTCCTAGAACTACTCGTGCATGCTTTCTTGATCATCCATGAGCCCTGAAATGAGTTCTGATTTGAGCGGGGGTGGCAGCAGCTGCCACCAACTGTAAAAGGTTGACGACTTCAATAAAACGTCCTTACCAACCAACCCCTCACGAATCCAGTTTCCTACTTCTCTTTGCAGCTTCAAAACTCTCTCTCCTTCCCTGTAGATTGCTGTGATGTCACCAGTAAGTTTGTGCAACTCCTCCACCTCTGCCCAAAAGCACGATTCCCCGCAGGAACCTGCTGGCAGTTTTTGTTCATGCTCGAGCCATCGTTGTGGGTATTTGAACCGCTTCGGCCTGCCTTTCTTCATGTATGGTCCGGTGTCCTCATCCTTGGAGTGCCTGTAGTAGTTAGCAATGTCAATAGGCTCAACAAGACGGCGGAACCTGGTTCCTAGTTGTATCCATTCTTTTATAGCCTCGAATTCATCAGGAAGCTCATATTTTTTCAACATTTCGAAAATCTCATCCCATATTCCTGTTAGCACAATCCTACTCACGTTAGCCTCAAAGTCTCTCCTGTCCTTCTGAATCTTGAAGGCGTCGAAATATCCCACATTGTGCTCACACAAGGCTCGATATTCTTCTAGGTTTTCCAATGCTTTCTTCATTTCTTCCCTTTTTCCATTAACTTTTTTCTGGTTTTCTCCTTTTTGC